AAAATATTTTTACAAAAATAACCTTGACAACCCATAAGGCCATAACCATTATTATCCTCAAAGATGAAAGAATTTTGTTGTCAGTTTCAAAATTCAAAAGAGATTATGAATATATTATATGCATTCTGCCTCGAATAGTTCTTAAATTATTTTATGATTATGAACTTATATAATTTAAAAGAATTTTTTGTATATTTTATCACAATCATAGTCCCACGATTATAATTTTATTATATTTTCATTTATTTTTAAGATTCTAGCAACGTGCACTATGTGCACTGTCAAAATCTCAGTCATCCATTGGCATTTGATCCCACGGTCAGGATGAGAATCCGTGGGAGGCTCACCTGGATCACGCCAATATCATTCTATATTTGGGTAGCTGAATTAGGAAGGATTATATTGAGGCAATTATGTATCAATTAGAAGTTATTTATTTCTTTATTAAGACATCTTGTATAGATCTATAAATAGGAATAATTTTGTATAATAATTAAAAGGTATTTTTACCTTCTCAAATTCTATGAATTCTAACATGGTATCAGAGCCCATCGGGAGGCCTTCATTGCCGAACGATCCAACCTCCTGACACTGCAAGAGGCCAACGAAGAAGTGTCGATCTCGCCGGTTGCTGCCGCGGGTGAACTCCTTGACTTCGTCAGAACGGTCATCGAAGGAACCGAGACGAATAGCCACGAAGGAAACAAAGGAGAGGAAGGAACGGTCTTACCGACTGAAACCGACCGTGCGAAAGACAATTCCGAAGCCGATCGGAAGTCCGTTCCAATCAACAGAGCTGAACGAGAGAAGGGAAACCCGATCCTTCTCTTCCACTCGATCGGCAGAACCGCACGATCCCGATCTCCGTGCGTCTTCCCAGCTCGGTGGAGGAGCCCGATCCGACAGGAAGGGAAGATCGTCGAAGGAACCTGCGAACGATCGAACAACCACGAAGGACCCGATCCAAGTATTGTAACTTCCGATCCGACATAAGGGAGAAGTCGTCGAAGGTAGTCCAACAGCCACGAAGGAGCCGAAGAACCGACGCATAGTCGAACAAAGTGCAGCTAAAGAGGTTTCGCTAGGCTTTCATTGCCGCTGAAGCTTGTTCGTTGTCTGCTCTGCGACTCTGGAATCTGGTCGGCGTAGAATGAAGGTAGTTCGAATGGGCCATCACAGGTTTGTTCATCGCCGTCAACTCCTCTTAAGCATAGGAAGGAGGGCGCATGGGGAAGAAGAGGAGACGAAGCCGAAGGACTTGAGCGGGCATAACCGGACGAACGTGCGGGAGACAAAGTCTCTTTGCATACGTGCCTCTAAAACCGAGAAGTGAAAGTGAAAAATATATATATATATATATATTAAAAAAAAAGGCCCTTATTGCCGTAACTTAGTCGGAATTTTGAGGATAATTTTATATCATCGGCCTTCATTGCCGGCTTTCTCTTGTGGTTGATATCCTATCTATAACCAATGCAGCTCTACCTCTGAGCGAGTAATTGCAAGCTGGTCTCCAGCTTGAGGGGGAGTGTCAAAATCTCAGTCATCCATTGGCATTTGATCCCACGGTCAGGATGAGAATCCGTGGGAGGCTCACCTGGATCACGCCAATATCCTTCTATATTTGGGTAGCTGAATTAGGAAGGATTATGTTGAGGCAATTATGTATCAATTAGAAGTTATTTATTTCTTTATTAAGACATCTTGTATAGATCTATAAATAGGGATAATTTTGTATAATAATTAAAAGGTATTTTTACCTTCTCAAATTCTATGAATTCTAACATGCACGTACATTTAAACTAGTATTATTAGTATTTTGTTATATCAAACACAAGGTGGTTTGACCAAGTATTTTCCTATTTCGGTTGGGTTACATCAAGGATCAGCCTTAAGCCCATATCTTTTTGCTTTAGTCATGGATGTTCTCACTAGACATTTGCAAGAGGATGTACCTTGGTGTATGCTTTTTGCTGATGATATTCTTCTTGTTGATAAGACTAGAGAGGGAGTTGAAGGTAAACTTGAATTATGGAGGTCAACCTTAAAGTCTAAAGGGTTTCACTTGAGTAGATCTAAAACGGAATATATGGAGTGTAATTTTAGTAGTAATAGACCTAGTGAGGGGATTGTGACTTTGGGTGATTAAGTCATTAATAAGAGTACGCGGTTTAGATATCTTGGATCTATTGTTCACAGTGATGGTGAAATAGATGGGGATATTATCAGCAGAATTCAAGTTGGATGGTTGAAGACTTGAAGTGGAGAAATGCATCGAGCTTGTTGTGTGATAGATAAGTACCCCTCAAACTTAAGGGAAAATTCTATAAGATGGTGGTGAGGCCTACAATGCTTTATGGTTCTGAATGTTGGCCATTAAAAGAGAAGCATAATACTAAGTTAAGTGTGGCAGAGATGAGGATGCTTAGGTGTATGAGTGGCTTTACCCTTAGAGATAAGATACGAAATGAGCATATACGTGAAAAGGTTTGAGTAGCTCCAGTAGAAGATAAGATTAGAGAGAGTCGCCTTAGATGGTTTGGTCACATAAAATGGTGGCCTTCTGATGACCTGGTTAGAAAAGTAAAGGTATTAGATTTGACTTATGTTAAGGAAGGAAGAGGTAGACCTAAGAAGACTTGGTTAGAAAATATTAGAAATGATCTTTTTTTATTAGATTTAAACGAGAATTTGACTTTTAATAGGACACAATGGAGAAAAATGATTCATGTAGCCGACCCCACGTAGTGGGATAAAGTCTTGACGTTGTTGTACTTTTCTTACCGCAAAAATAGTCAAAAAGTTATTCCAAACAAAGCATATATCATCTAGGCTTAATCTCTAACTCTTATCGAAGCTAACTCATGTACAACTTTTTGAAGTAATCTATCACATAAAACTTCTTTTTTTTTTAAATCATTCAACAAAGTCTATCACATAAAACCTCATAACAATATATCTTTTCAAAAAAAAAGAATGAAACCTTGGTGCTAACAATTGTTGAAAAGCAAGCTGCAATTTCCAAAGAGATCCAACAATGGCAGTCAAAAGATAGCGGCAAGGGTCTATAAATGTTTGAATAAGATCAACAAACAAGGTTTCCGCCAATATGGAATTTCCTACATATAAATCACCAAGGTTACCAGCTTTTCACGCCTAGTAAAACAGAACATAGTTTATCTCTATGAATTAGAACTGTAATTCTGACCATTTTCGAGAAAGCTTGCTGAACAAGCTTTAACCAGAATTTTTTTTTTATGTTTTCATTTATTCTCCCCCAAAAGGATACAGCCAATATTTGCAAGTATTCTACATTTATCTCCAACGATTTCTCTATTTTTTTAAAATTATTTGTAACAAATATAGAAAAGCCTACCATAAAAGAATTTCAAAAATTAGAATAGTTATTTTTCTAAAGATCTTAACTGATTTCCCGAGTTTACTCTCATTGGTTATGTTTGGTACACTTACCCCTGAAACACATAGTAATGCTAAACTATAACTTTTATTTTGAAATAAATTCAGTGTTGCTCCCACAAGGTTATTCTGTAATTCGTGCTCCATAATTTTGTTGCAAATCGTCATGAAATCATGGAGGGCGTGTTCATGCACTACGCGATATCCACCATGCCTTACCTCTCTCTCTCCTCTAATGTTAAGATGCAAGCAAAACAGCTAAAAAGCATTATCAAATGAAGCCCGAAATAGATTAGTAATATGATATTAACAATGTTTGAAGCCTCAAATGCATACCCTAATTTCTAAAATGAATTCACAAAGGGCTGCAAGCGAACCAAACGTTCAACGAGCTACTCGTTATTTGGTTCGATTAAAGCTCGTTCGTGATCGTTTAATTAACTAAACAAACAAACTTGAACAATATTTTAAATACTCGATTCTAAAATAAACAAGCTTGAACACTAATGCGTTCGGCTCATTTATGTTCGCGAAAAATATTATTTGAAGTTCGTGAACAAGCTCGACATTAAGCTCGATAAGAAACTCGATTCGTGTTCGATTTTGAACTCGTGAATAAGCTTGATAAAAATAATTAATATTTGATTATAAAATTAATAAATATAAATAATATAAATAGAGCTCGACATTAAGTTCGCGAACATGCTTGATGTAATCGTTTGCTAGGAAGCTCGATAAAGTTCGTTTGTTAAGTTAATGAACATCTAAAAGTAGAGCACGTTTATAACTGGTTCATGTTTGTTTGAACATGAACCGAACATGAACACTCATTAATTTAAATGAACCAAACATGAACACAAACAATAAAGCTCGAACAAACATGAACCAAACTTGAACAACCTGATATTAAATGAATACAAACATGAATACTCACATACTCGGCTCGGCTCGATTCATTTGCAGCCCTAAATTCACATAAAGAAGCTAACAACACAGAAAAAAAGGAAAGAAGCTAACAACAACAATTCAAATATTAGAAGCTCAAATTAAAGATTAGCATCACTTCTAGCTAAAAAAATATGAGAACACCAAATGGTGTTGCTGAAAAGCTGTCAAGGGCTAAGACACTAATTTGATAAGATTTCAAAGACGAGCGTATTAAGATTTGACTACAGATTTGCTGAAAATTGCATGTTAACTTAAACATAACAAAGAAAATAATAAAAATAGTTTCAAAAAATGGTAGGTAGGCAACAGTTTGGGGGACCATGACACTCAATAGTAATCCAGGAATCAGTAAAACAAGGTGCAAACTGACACATAAATAAGATTTCAAGTCATAAAGAAAATTTTCCAAAATTTAACTAAAAGAAGTTTCAGCAGATCATCATTCATGCTTTCATTATGACTGCAATAAAATCAACACCCGAAATCCCTCCTTACAAAGAAATTACGTTTTTGGCAGAAAAAGTCATCCGCAGGATTGGTGAAAACAGGAATTTAAGTTAAACAACATGCATGTAAGCCTTTATCTCATAACAGTTAAGTACAATGTTTCAAGACGTATAACAACAAAAAAGTACCTGCAGACATGTTTCTTTAATACCATTACGCCCTTCAAGAATTCCAGCTTCTTTGATAGGTTCCTGATAAATATCTTGATTAAAAGGTTGAAAAAAAGAAGAAACAGAAAAATTTAGCAGTTCATCACAATTTACTTACCAAATTCCTTACAGGAGGAAGGGACACTACGAGATCTACATCACTAGTCGGAAGAGCTAAACCAGTTGAATTAGAACCAAATATATTTGTGCGAGAACGAGGCCAAAGTACCTGAAGTGATCTTGTGATCCGTTTGACAGCCCAATTAATGAATGGCTTCCGGATCGAATTCTCTGCAGCAACCTTTGACAAGCAACCAATATTTTGCGGAAACATTAAGCTAAAGATTAAAAGAGAATGAAAACATAACAAAAAAAGATGCGATTAGATCAAGAAAGTTCCCGATAGTTAACAAATCAAGAAAGTAAATAAGAACGCTAATCTAAGCCAAGAAGTTAAAAAAAAATTACTGAAAGCAAATTCTTTTTTTCTTCTGCAGACAAGATTTATTCCTTTAGAGACAGTATATGAAACGAGCATATACATGAAAAGGTCGGAGTAGCTCCAGTGACAGAGAAGATTAGAAAGAGTAGCCTAAGATGGTTTGGTCACATAAAACGGTAGCCTTCCGATGACGCGGTTAGAAGAGTAGATGATGGGGACATCAGATCATCATGGAGAGTTTATCAGAGACGCGGCCGACGATCTACGGCCACGATCGAGTCTTTATATTTTTGAGTCGTTGATGTATTTTATTTTCATGTAGCTTGTTATTTGCTTATGTGGCATTTAGAGTCGTTGTATTTTATTTTATTGCTTATGAGTTTTCTTTCCCGTAGTACCCCTTTTATGGGAGTTGTCGTATGTAAGCCCAAAGGGCATTTGTGTCTTTTATTTCGAGTCATGTTGTAGGAGGCTATTTAAAGCCCCACTTTATTCTATTATGGTTAATGAATGATTATGAGAAAATTTTCTTGCACTTGTGTTTGAGAGCCTTTGAGAGTTCTTGGAGAGTTTTGGAGAGCTTCCTTGGAGAGGGAGATTGGCGTATCACCCACCAACCTTGGAGACGGCCGGGTTCGTGGTTTTCTTCTTTATCTTTGTCATCGTCTCCTCGTCGAGTTTCCAAAACCCCCCACCCATCCTATTTCACCTCACGGTCAAATCATCCTCACCCGACCCCTCCTCCTCTCCAACTCCCACATTCCAAGCTTGCCCGATCCCCTTGCCGCCGGCCAAAGGCTTTAACCGCCGGTCCTCCACCCCTTGGTTTCTTTATTGGGTTTCCTAATTTGGGTTTGGAATTAATTGAAGTAAATTTGAATTTCAAATTCCCTCAAATTTGAATTCAAAATATTTCCTAAATTAGTTATTCTATTTTAGGAAAGTGATTGAATTAAATTCAATTTCAAATTTAAATTCATGAGGATTTAAATTAATTTTTTCCTAAATCCAATTCCTAAATTAGAAATCCATAATTGCTTTTCCAACCCAATCACCTAGTCCATGTATGCTGCCGGCCTCCTTTGCCCCCTCATTAAATTTATTTTCCAATTATTTCCTAATCTCATCTATTACTTAGGAAATAATGTGAAATCACCTTTGAATCCCTCTTGGCCGCCTATTACACCTTGCCTGGATTGATTTATTGCCTAAGTGAGCACGTCACTTTAGGAAATACATCAAGCCTTCCCTAGTTTATTTTCCCTGTTTGCCGCCCAGCACCCGCCTCCCTCCTCTACCCGTCTCCCTTCCTCTCCAGCCCCCATCTTCTCTCATTAGACTAAGCTTTTGGATGTTTTGATTTCTTTTCTCCCAAGCATCTTCAATTACACCAAATAACCTGAGAATTCTCTCAGTTTTTTTTGGAGCAAAAACCTGAACATCAATTCAGGATTTGAGATCAACACTTGGAAGAAGATCCCTAGTCCTTTATTAGAGAAACTTCTTTCTCTACCACAAGGGTCAAGATTGCTGGCATCAAGTAGAAGACCTCCGCGCCTCCTTAAGCAAAGGTTCTCCTTTTCACTTGCGTTTTATTTCTTCTAAATCTAAATTCTCATTGGATGATTGTAATCACGAAAGCGCCTTCAATTGCTCTTGCCAAGCCTAGTCATTTGTAGGAATTGAGTGTAATCTTCTATGCATCCTACGTCTCGTTGTTAGATTAGGGATTTAACTTGAAAACTACTATTCTGTATTGCTTCTATTTTCTTAATTATCTTGCTAGTTCAGACTCGGAGCATGTGATTTAGCCTACGCAATTGATCCACTCATTTGTTTTAATTGACGTTTGAAAATTGCTTGTAATTTTGTTCCGAAATTGTTCTAATCTATTAGTTGTGCAATGCTCACATGAATCCATAAGCATGTCATCTTAGTAGTCCTGCATCAGTAGATATATTAGATTTGGCTTATGCTAAGAAAGATAGAGGTAGACCTAAGAAGACTTGGTTAGAAAATATTAGAAATGATCTTTTTTATTAGATTTAAATGAGAATTTGACTTTTAACATGGCACAATAGAGAAAAAGGATTCATGTAGCCGACCCCATATAATGGGATAAAGGCTTGATGTTGTTGTTGTTGCAGACAAGGTCTGTTCCCTTTGGAACCCAAGCATTTTTTTCACAGGGTGTCGGTAACGTTGTTCAACTTGTTTTCAGGGAAGAAACTATTTTGCATATTTTATCTCTCAACGTATCAAAAAGGTCATCGCATCCTAAAACGCTACACTAACAAGCTTAACAGTTTAGTCAAATAACTTCAAGGATTCTAATATTCTTGATTGCCTTTATTAGATATTTAAGAAATAGGTCTGAGCCAACAAGCAGCTGGGCGGCATTGGCTTTGAATGCTGAAGGGCCTAACATGCCAATCTATTTTCTCTCCTGGATGCAACGGCGGAATTGGCAATGAAAAGGACAAAGTGAACCAAACTTAGAAATGATTTAATAATATTACAGGATTAGATGGAGACATTTTAAAAAAAAACTAACAAAAAATTTTTGAGTAAGATTTTAAGATTTTGACTTTGCATGAGAAAACTATTGCGAAAAAGTAACAAATGATATTAAGAATATTACAAAGAATATGCTTAGAGTATCAAAAGGAAAAACTCCTAATAGTAAAAATAGTTGGTGTATGAATCAAAATGTGCAAGAAAAGATTAAAAAATAAGTAACTTTGTTATAAAAATTAGTTTAGGTATAAAGCTCAAAAAATTAGGAAAGATATAAAAAGATCCGTAAAGAGTCTAAGAAAGAATATGTAATCATTGTAATGCAAAAAAATTACCTTTTAATAATTCATATAATATATTAGATATTGAGGGTGAAAGATATATGTATAAGCTAGTCAAATAAAGAGATAGGAGAAGTAAGGATTTAGTTCAAGTGTATTCTAGATAAAGATCAAAAAGTACTTTTATTAGAATAGAATATTCAACAAAGATGGATGAGATATTTTGATAAATTTTTCAATGAAGATTGTGAAAATACGATTGACTTCAGTGACCTTAGTTCCCTAAATGAAAATAAATACTTCTTTATTAGCATATTAGTAAAACCGAAGTTAGAGCGGCTTTACAAAAAAAAGAAGCGTGAAAAATCTATTTGACGTAATGATATTCCAATATAGGCATGAAAAATCTTAGGAGATGAAAAATTTATTGGCTTACAAAACTTTTAAATACTATTTGAAGAATAAAAGGATATTATATGAGTGAAGGAGTGTGATGATTCCTATATTTAAGAATAAAGATGATGCACAAGAGTGTGCAAATTATAAAGAAATTAAGTTAATGTGCCATACTTCAAAACAATGGGAGAGAGTTATTGAGCATAGGTTACGACGTGATACTAATATATCTTAAAATAATTTGGATTCATACCGAATAAGTCTACTATGGAAGCTATACATTTATTGAGAGATTTGATGGAGAAGTGTAAAGAGAATAAAGAAGATCTACACATGATATTTATTGATTTAGAGAAAGTATATGATAAAGTTCAAGTAGGAGCGCTCTATAGAGTTCTAGAAAAGAAAGGGATTAATAATGCTTGCATTCAAGTTATTAAGGATACGTATGCAAGAGCTATTACTTGCATTCAAACACAAGGTGGTTTGACCAAGTACTTCCCTATTTCAGTTGGATTACATCAAGGATCAGCTTTAAGCCCATATCTTTTTGGTTAAGTCATGGATGCTCTTGCTAGACATTGGCAAGAGGACGTACCCTGGTATATGCTTTTTGCTAACAATATTTTCCTTATTGATAAGACTAGAGAGGGAGTTGAAGTTAAACTTGAATTATGGAGGTCAACCTTAGAGTTTAAAGTTTTTCGTTTGAGAAGATCTAAAGTCAAATATATAGAATGAAATTTTAGTAGTAATAGATCTAGTGGGAGATTGTGACTTTAGGTGATCAAATCATTAACATGAGTAGTACACATTTTAGATATATCATGTCTATTGTTCAAAGTGATGGTGAAATAGACAAGGATATTATTAGTAGAATTCAAATTGGATAGTTGAAGTGGAATAATGCATTGGGTCTGTTGTGTGATAGAAAAGCACCCACAAACTTTAAAGGAAAATTCTATAAAATGGTGGTGAGACCTGCAATGCTTTATGGCGCAGAATGTTGTCCATTAAAAGAGAAGCATAAAATTAAGTCAAGTGTTGCAGAGATGAGGATGCTCAGGTGGATGAGTGACTTCACTCTCATAGACAATGTGAAACAAGTATATATGTGTAAAGGTTGGAGTAGCTCTAGTAGCATATTAAGATTAGAGAGAGTTGCCTTAGATGGTTTGGTCACGTAAAATGTCGACCCTTCTGATGACCTGGTTAGCAGAGTAGACCTAAAAAGACTTGGATTAAAAAATATCAGAAATGATCTTTTTTTATTAGATTTCAATGAGAATTTGACTCCTAATCGAACAAAATGGAGACAAATGTTTCATGCAGCCGATCCCATGTAGTGGAATAAAGGCTTGATGTTTTTGTTGTCATTATTGTTGTAATATTATAGAAGAACATTGTCTAAGGTAGCATGTCGCTTTCTAGGGAACAAATAATAACTCAACCATGGCAATCTTTCTTTTTTCTTTCCTAGATTTTGAAGAATGATTTCTATATTTCAGCAGAACTTCCAGATTAGTATTGCAGTTGCATTCTCCTCTGAAGGGTTCAATCCTAGAGGAATAAAGCCAATTTTATTCTCAAAAATTAAAGCTTTTACGCATTCAAAGTTCTAAAGTTTAAGCTTTGCAGCAAACTCCCAAGCTCAAATCAAAATTTCAATGAACGTTCTTGAAATTACTAATAAGAGAAAATACTGAGGAGAGAAAGAAGAAACACCGAGTAACAGTCAAAAAGGATTCTACTGCAGCCAATACCTGCTTGCAGAAAAGGTCAATTTCCTCATGAAGAAGATTCTGCATCCTTGCTAGCGACCCTTTGCAAGAGCCATTCAGTAGATCAGGTGGCTGTAAAGGTAATGCAACATCTGGCTGTGGCATAATACTTTCAAGTCAAATTCTAGGCCAAAATAAACCCTATTATTAAGAACTCCAGCAGGAAAAACAAAATATAGATAAAATATAGCTGAAACCTAAAAGAAACACTTACATGTTCTTGATCATGTGCAAGCTGAGAAATCGTGATAAGATGATCCTGGAGCAAAGATCCTTGAAGAGATTGGGCCACTGCAGCCACCCCAAGGCCTTTGTTTGCCCAGGTTGGCCACAAAACTTCCGCACCATCTAAACAAAGACGAGGGTCAGCCACAGTGCTTTCTTCATGACACCAACCTTTTACACCCCAATGCCTAGGACTTGAGCTACCAGATCTTACAATTGGAAATCCTCGTTTCCTTGATTCTCCAACAGAAGGTGGAGAGGGTTGAGTCACTCGTGGAACACAAAGAACCACAGGAGATGGAGGTCTCTTTGTCAGTGGAGTATCTCTCCTTGTAGAAGGTAAACAAGCGCTTTTATTATCATGACCAAGCTTAAATTCTGATCGGGATCCCTTTCTTGACATAGCTGGAATAATGATTGGTCGCAGCATTGGGTATGGAGGCGGATCTCCTTTCACTCCTTCAATACCAGCAATTGAATTTGCACTAGAAGACGAGATTTTCTCATCCGGAGGTTCTGAAACTGATGGTGAATGTAATGCATTACTAGAAGAATCATTTCCTGCAACTGAGTAACCCATGGATGGGCGTCCAGAAGCCACAGGTTCAAATGGTGAACAGTAAGAGGAAGAAGGTGGCGATGCCATGCCATTTGTGCTATAAGTAGGCAACCCAGTCTTGCAACCAACCATATCATCAATGGTTCTATTAAGGTCAGCTTCATGCCAAGCCCATGAGCCATCTTCAGAACTGTGGGAAGGTGGACGAGAAAATCCAGTTCCAACAAATTCAGCAGGATTCCAATACATAACTCCACCACCAAAATAATTATTATAATCTCTTCCAGACCTTGCAAAAGACTCAGATTCATCTTCAGATAACCAATAGCTTTCATCTTCAACCAAATCAGATATATTTTTCATATCATAGACATCAATAATATCTCCGGCATGCTTAAAATCATTATCCCCAGGTGCCACATTAGCTTGCCCTCCATGAGCAGCGCATGTGTACAAAGAAGGGGGCATGCTATGACTATATGCAGATTCATACCCTACAGTCTGGGTTTGACTCAGTCTGCTACAATTTTTAACCATGGGAGGCCAGTCATAGCTCATGGGAAAAGTCAAAGAAGGTAAGATCCGGTTATGTCCAAACTCGTTTAAAGAATTTCTCACATGAACCTTTGATGCCATAAAGGATTGATGATTGTGATAAGGCAACCTGACACCAACATCTAAATGCAGCCTGTCAGTAGCAGGGAGGAGATGTGAATTAATAGATGAAAAATGAATTGGAGTTATGCTGGGCCATTCATATGATGCTCCTCCCATGAAATTTGTGTCTCTGAATGAATGGAATTCACTGCCACCATTGTGTATTACTGAACATTGCTTATCGGCAGCTGTACGGTAGCATTCCTTTGAAACATAAGATGCAGTGCCTCTTGCAGCACAAGAAAATTTCTGTACATGCTTCTCCTCAGCGACCACATTATCATGCTCACAGGCACGCAGAGAAGAGCCACATGCAGTTCCCATCAAAGGATCATTCTGTTTGTCAGGGTATGCACTATTTCTATAAGTGGTTTGTAGAGGCTCTTCACTCTTTGCAAGACAAGGTGAAACATATGCCAACATATCACTGCCTGTTTTGCCAGAACTATGATGGCATTCTTCAACAGTAGTAGATCTACCTTCAGTCAAACAAAGAGACTGATCTTCTTGGATGCCTTTTTCTGATTGCATCACATCCACCATTGCATATTCCTGTGAAATGTCAGAGACAGATTTTTCCAAAAGGTTGTCACATGATGATATATCATCAGCTTTGAGCCGAGAATTTGAACTACACACATGGCCAATTGTCCCTGTCAGTTCCCTCTCAGCATCAAGAGACAGCTTGGTGCCTTTACTGTCTTTGTGTTTAGATTTTCCGGTATTTTTCACATTAGAGCTTTTATTTTTTGCCCCTTTTCTTCTACTTTTTCTTTTACCACTCTTTTCTTTGTCATCAACAGAAACTCTGGCATTTAAATTGTCCTACAATAAATAATATTTTTTTCAATACTTTAACAGGCCATACAAAGAACACGGCTAAAAGCTTTACCATTTCTTCTTGTGCAGCTAAAGGCTTCACTTCAGGGGCATTATTTACAGCATGAGAAACAACGCCATCTATGTTCCTTCTAGCAACCAAAGAGGAAGTGCTCCCTTGGAAGCAAAGCTCGGAACTACAATCAAGTCTCTGTAAATTTAATCCTTTCAATTGATTACAATACAAAAGTAGAATTAAACAGCAGGAAAATATAAAGAATAGAGGAAATAGACTTTGGAGCTAATGAAACTAGGAAATACCATAGAACTTTCCCGGGATATAGAAGCAGAATTGTAAGCCTTAGGCATAGCATTAGATTTCTTTGAAGAATGCGATTTGCTTTTCCCTTTCCCACATACTAAATTATACTTTTCTTCAGCTTTTTCGGGGAAACTACTCAGTTTTGTATCCTCCATAAGTTCATGATTTATAAATATAGAATGAAAATCAATGAGAAATCTTTGCAATTTCCTACTTATATATTCAGAAACAGTGAGGCTAGAACCCAATGAACCAAAGAACAATTTCTCAGTTTCAACTTTTCCTAACTGCCATGCTAAAAGTACATTGGACATGGCATGAACAACAAGCAATTTGTTCAATATAATAGCAAGATTATTTGGTACTCTCGAAGTTGCAATAGGCAGAAAATCCAAACCAAGTTCTACATCACTTTCAAAGAGTGCTTGTTTAGCCTTTTTCCATGATGGCAAGTCACCATATTGAAATTCCAGGTTTCTTCCGATGTTTAAGTAACCAAACCCATTGCTCAAAGCAGCATTTTCTTCCTTAATTATCTCATTGGCCTGCAAACTTAAGTTTCCAAAAGTTAGTGGTGTTGAAGCATAAGAAGTAATGCAAAAAAAGAGTTTTTTTAGCAAACTATATGAGAATTGATCGCAAGTTAAAATTAATTACCACTATGACAATGCAGGCCAACAGAACCACAAATACTAAAGTCAGCAAAAGATAAAGGATAAGAACTATGCAACATTGTATATCAGACTCTATTAAAAACTATCGTGGAAATCTTCTCTTTTTAATATCCAAGATTGCATTATTTTCAGGAAGCTTTGTAAGTAAGATATATGTTAAAAAAAATTAAATGCACGTGCTATAATGTAATAAGATCCTTCTTAAAAAAATAACCCAACATTATATGACTTAAATGTCCTGACTATTCAAAAGTAGCTATGATCCTTGTCCACATGTCATGTCATGTCATGCCAAGTCTAAATTCAGGATTTATAGTGGTGTCAAAATCGGGTTGCGGGTCAGTTTGGGTAGAACCCGGTAATGACCCGCAGTTGTTTGATATGACCCGAACCCGGCCAATTTTTGCAGACAGAACAAAAATATCAACCCAAACCCGACCCATGTCAGGTTTTGGGGCTGACCCGATCCGACATGAAACCAACTTAACCTCACATGCAAAGCAGGTGAATACGATCAGGCGGAACGTCGAGCCATCGTAACTTCTGAACCTTAGGTTGCGTGAAGCAAACCCTAGGACTTGACAGCATTGCCGGCATTGTAGGTGGCCTTGCCGGCGTGCGACCATGCTAGCGTTGTAGGCTGCATCCCTTGCAGCTTGCGAGCATGCGTGCCGCATGCAGGCGTTGTCGCGTTGCAGCCCTTGCCAACGTTGCGTGAAATCATGTCGCTTAGGGCCTTGCGGGAGCCGGGAGAAGCCTTGCGGCTTGTGGGCGTACATAATTCTTCAAATCCGACAAATCAGATGAAGCCTTGCGGCGTCGGGTTCGAGTCAGATGAAGTTATTTTTTTTATTAAGGGATTTTTTCATTGAAACTCCAAGCACATCTTTGCAATATTCTTAATATCACTAGCTATTTTTCACACGTAACATTAGCTTCCTCATGCACATACAAAATCTTAAGATGAAATATCTAACTTTCAAAAATATTTTTGTTAATGTTCTTTAAATACCCCATCTAATCCTAAAATAACATTTTACTTTATTTTGTATGCTTGGCCCCTACATTTTAAAGTCCAAAACTAATAAGCAATGTTAAATACATAAAGTTTCACTCAAAATAATTTTACAACCTCTACAATCTAAACAATCTATTTTTCTTATAAGAAAATAATCAATCTGAATTTTACTATATCCATTCTTATAAGTGATGAGATGTTCATCATTTTTCTTACATAAGATATTAACAATTACAAAATTATAAGCTAAAGAAAAATCTAATATGATCATACCACCTTTATTAATTGCTCCAAACTCATAGCCACCATAAATGTTTTTAAAATAATCTATTTCTCTACCAACATGTCCATTTAAATCTCCTTCAATAACCACTTATAATATTAATAATCTTAACATCAACAACAATCTTTAAAGCTATAATTATATTTCCAATTCTATTATTTTTTACAATATTTTCCTTTAAATTTTCTTATCAATAATCACATATACACCATTTCTAGTACGACTTTTACCATAATATCATAGTTTAAATCCTCAACTATCAATCGCTTTAACCTTCTCTCCAATACAGTTAGTTTCATAAATTGATAGAATATTTATCTTCCTATGAATCATAATATCTATTAATTCCATTAATTTGTCTGTAAGAAACTTATATTTCAAATTCCTATCCTAATTTAACTTCATGGACTAGCTTTTTTGCCCACATCCATCTATGATGTGGGAACCTTGCCTATTTAACATTGCACCCGAGCGCCAGTGTAGCAGCCCCTTGCACACATGTTGTTGTATTCAGGTCATGCAGCGCATCACTTTCAGAAAACGCCCTAGCATTAACACAATGTATTAAAATATTCATGTCATAAAAAAGAAATGATGTATGTCCATGGATTAGTGAAATTTGTAATTGCCATTTGGTTAGGAAAAACATAAGTTGGTGATATAATAATAGCATTTAAAAATCCTCATAATAAACTAAACAAGTATCACCAACACTGCCTTACAAGAACAAAGTCTATGAGGAACTCTTTTATATATATATATTTCATGTGTTGATATATGTTAATGGTTTGCCAGCTCGCAGATAGTTTCTTCATAAACAACCCAAATTTAAGAATGCATTAGATATTCAAATAAAACATAAACCAACGCCAAAATCCACAGTACTAAAAAGGTGATAACTTTGGATTCTACTCGATTTCAAAATATGGAACTACATCAGTCAACGTGGACTAATTGTTTTCCTAGGAATCTATATTAATGAAAAACTTAAGGAATTAAACAAGTACCAGAGTCTTTGATGTCTTCCCAAAAAAAGCTGAAATTGTCGCCCTCCTTGTACGGGGATCCAATCCAACCCACCAATCAAGACAACACTTCATCCTCCAAAAGACATTAGCCGCCTTCCCTGAAACCTCTGTAGCCCTCTCCTTCATCCTCTTCTCCTTGGGCTTCTTTCCTCCTTGAGAACTAATCCAAGCCAGCCTCAGGGCCACCTCAAGCCGATTCACTACAAATGCTTCGAAGCTGTAGTACCCCATATCCTTCAGCCATGAAAACTCCATCCATTGCACAGTAAGTCCCAGCACCTCAACTTCCTCGCAAAGAAACCTCCCGCCAGAAATTCCATCCATGACACCCACGAAGCGGTCAACATCAGTAACAAGGGACTCGGAGACCGTTAGTGCGTCCGCTAGGACGACACCAGACGAGGTGGAAGAGAAGAAACGGAGGGAGTTGGAAAGTAGCAGGGCGGATGAGTTGGATGCTGCAGAGCGGGAGATGAGGCCACGAGAGGGGCGGGAAGAGAGGGAGGGGAGGCATGGATTCAAGGGGGAAGGAGAGGGGAGGTCGGGAAGAAGGAGGAACTGCGAGTGGCCTTGGCGGTGGAGGTGCGACTGCATCTGGAGAAGGATGAGAAGAAATGAGGAGTCGAAAATGGTGAGAGCAGCCTGACGCTGAGCGGGAGAGAGAGATGAGAACCAGCGGAGGACGGAGACGCGATGAGTAGGATTAGGATTAGGATTAGTGTTACGGTTAGAAATGTGGGAATGGTAAAGCGCGAGGTGGGCAGTGAGGGAGTGGATGAGATGTTGTGATTCGGAGCCCATTGCTAGGGTTTTTCGGAAGAACGGAGTGAAGCGGCGAGGTAGGAGAAGCGGAGAACAGGGAAGAGAGGAAGAGCATGAACAGAGGTGGAGCGTGGACCGTGGACCGTGCCTTCGAATCGTGCGTGTGGAATAGAAATAGAAAGGGGGATTTATACAGATAGCACTTAAAATTCATCTATTTATCTAATTATTATTGAAATTTATTCATTTATATAGTTAGGACTGCTTGATTTGAAATAAAATTGGTGTAAAATACTTTATATGCAAAAGAATATTATTGTTTAGTTTCTATAGATCTCAAACATCTTAGTTCAAGCAAGCAAATACTATTATATTTATGATTAGTAAAATATGCTTCATCTAATAGTTTAATTAAAGAATGGGATATGAAAATTTCTGATCATTCTCTCCTTATCCTCAGAGATGTCCCTTTTAAGAATTCTCACAAGCGGTTTATGTATAAAAATTACTGGTGTCATATTCAGGATTTCTGGAGCATTCTATTGAATATTTTTCAAATTCCGAATCAATGGAATCCTATTATTAGTCTATATAAGGAACTGAAATTATTAAAAAGAGAGGTCAAAGCTAGAAACTGGAGTTCTTACAATCACATTGCTAACAAATGTGCTTCCTTAGCTGCTGAACAAGATAGGTGTCAGAAGTTGATTGATATTGATACTCTTAATAGAGAGCTTTGTGGAGAACTCAAAAAGATCAATGCGAATATTAATTATTACAATTCTCTTCATGCTTCTTGGACTATCCAAATATCAAAAATTAAATGGTTAAAAAATGGTGAAGAAGATTTGAAGTTTCTCTACTCCAAAATTATGAAAAGGAAAGCATTTAATGGGAGTTCTCTTAATGCTGCTACTTTTCATACATATGATCATGAGAATAGCAACCATTTTAGTATCATTCAGCACTTCAAAATTCTTTATAATTCTACTCCTCCTGAGTTAAATGATATTAGTCTTATTCCTAAAGGTAAACTGATTCCTGATGAGACTATTACTTCATTAGTGAGGCCTGTAACTAATGAGGAAATTCAGTTGGTTATTAACTCTGGCTGCTCCAACTCGGCACTAGGACCTGATGGGTTTAATTTTGATTTTTATAAGAAAACCTAGAGTATTACGGGTCATTTAGTTTGCAAAGCCATAAAATCTTTCTTTAGTAAATGCTATCTTCCAAACAGTGCTAAAGCTATTGCCATAGCACTTGTTCCTAAGAAATATCATGCTGAAAATATTCAAGACTTCCGACATATTTCTCTTTGCAACATTTTTCACAAAATTATTGCAAATATATTGGCTAGCCGTTTGAAAATTGTTATGCCTGATATTATTGAGAATAATCAAGCTGCTTTTATTCCAAATAGGATTGCAACTGAAATTCCTATTTTGGCTAAGGAAATCATCAATCTCTTTAAAAAGCAATATAAGATGAAATTCTTTTGTGCTAAATATGATATCAAGAAAGCTTTTAATTTGATACGGTTTCCAAGAACTTTCTCTTTGCTAGAATGGCTGATAAAGGGTTCCCTATTATCTTTATTAATTGGATCAAATATTGTATCAAAGATGTTCATTTTTCTAATTGCTTGGATGGTGCTCTAGAAGGGTTTTTTACATCTTCTATCGGACTAAGACAAGGTTGTCCACTTAGTCCCTATCTTTTTTGTATTATTATGGATGCTCTATCATGCCTTCTTGATTCTAATCATGACTCCAATGGTTTAGAGTAGGGGTGTCAAGCAGTTCCGGCGCCGGCAGAACCCAAAACCAGGTCGGTTCGAGTCAACCCGGCAACCCGCCGGGTCGGGGCCGGGTTCGGATTTCCGACCCGTTTGTCTACCCGGGTCGGGTTAGGGTCAACCCGTTTGAACCCGAACCCGACCCGTGACCCCAAATTGACACCCCTAATTTTGAGGGTTTTAAAATTGATAATTTTCATCTGTCTCACCTTACTTATGCTGACGATCTTTTGGTATTTGGGAAGGCTGATACTAACAATTATGTTAAGCTTTTGAGAAAACTTAACCTGTTCTCTAAGCTCACTAGATTGCATATAAACTTACATAAAAGTTCTCTTATTATCTCTCCAAGTGTTTCTTGTCCTAATGATATTTCTAGTATGCTTCAAATACATAATGTCTCTTTTAATTTTACTTACTTGGGTATTCCTTTATCAATGGGCCGGACTAAGTTGTCTGATTTTGCCCCTCTGATTGAGAAAATCTCAATGTTATTGTCTGGATGGAAGGCGATGATGCTTTCTTTTGCTGGTAGACTACAATACATTAAATATACTATTACTAACACTGTGGCTTATTGGATTAGGAGCATGTCTATACCCAAATCTATTTGCAAGCAAATAGGTAAGCTGTGCTCTAAATTTCTATATCATGGGGACACTAATAGCAGAAGATTACATCTTATTTCTTGGAATAACTCTTGTAAACCATATTCTTTTGGTGGACTGGGTATTGCTTCATTACAAGCATTAAACTTTGCTTTTAATTGTGGGATTATTATGAGATGTTACAACACAAATTCTCCTCTTTCTAAGTGGTTACTTGCTAGATACACCACTCCTTGGAAACCTGTAACATCTACTGTGTCGGCTTTCTAGAAAAATATATGTAATACGGCTGTGTTAGCTAGGGAGAAATTCAATTTCATCATTACTCATAATAGCCATATTTCTATTCTTTGGGATCACTAGTGTTTGGGGGATACTATCTTTGATAGATTTCAAAATATACCCATTAACTTGGCTTATAACACTCAACTGGCTAGCTGGATTCATAATGGTGCATGGAATATTCCGGAATTTGATAACCCTTATATTAGGAATTTTATTTTGAATATTCCCATTGCTACTAAAAGTTTGTACCATCTTAGTTGGGACAATTTGGGGAATGCTAAGTTTAAGGGTTTATATTTATATTATTTTGCTAATGATGCTCATGTTGACTGGCATCACTTGGTTTGGCATAAAAAACATGCATTGAGATACTCTGTTTATTCTTGGATGGCGCTTAAAGGAGGTTTAAAAACATGTGATGTTTTGGCTACGAGGAGCTAGTATTCCTATATTGGACAAATGCTGCTCTTTATGTCACAATAACTTGGAGACTACACCACATATACTGTTTGAAAGTGATTATTCTTTTAAGGTGTTAATAAAACTCATTCCTTCCTTCCAAACACATTATTTTAGACCAACTGTTTCTTTAGCCTTACTCCATATTGATAATTTGGATAAGTCTAAAAATATTAAGAATGGCAGCCTTCTTATTTTAAATGTTGTTATATATTACATATGGATGGAGAGGAACAATAGAAGGTTTAAGTCTGTTGCTTTATGAGTCAATTCTCTGGTTAAGAAAATCTCTAAAGCAATTATTATCAAATTAATGGGTTGGAAGAATGGATTTGAGGTAAAGGAGGCTCTGAATTTGGCTTATTACACTCTATATCATGGACTTATGATGAGAGGTTTTGTTTCCTTCTTGAAACCGTGCTACAGCTAGCTAGCTAGATGTTTGATTGAAAAAGTATATAAGTTTGAAAAAGATTAATTTTCTTTGGAAAATATTTAATTTTGAATTTTAAAATTGAACATGTCATTATGAACAATATATCACCTCGAGAGGTGATCATATCGTTCCCTAATGGGTTCAAATTTCAGAATTTTAAATTTATCTGAATTATCGTAACCAAACTCAAGGGGGGATAACATATGATCTTGGAAAATCAAAATGAGATTCAACCAATTGTTTAACTATAATAATTCGGATAAGAGATCGTTAATTTCATAATCAAAATAATGATAATAAAATAATATATCTTTCTGAAAAAAGATGATATTACATATTACCGATTATTTGAATATGACAATAATGATCGTCATTTTTTGTTTGAATTTCCAAAGATAATTAATTAGAGGTTTTGAAAAATTGATTTTAAACATCAGGTCTGGGTTTCTAAATCTCCTACGAGCGTAAGCCCTCGTAGTAAATTACATCGTATGAAAATTGAAATTTTCCTACGTACACTCTCGATTAAAATAGCGGTATAAATTTTATTTAAGATTTTCAAAGATCGATATCAAAGGAAAAAAGGGGTAGGAATTTTCAATTGAGATTGGGTCAAATTTGAACACTTATTTCTAGAGTCAAAGGAAGAAGTGTATGGAGTGTTGTGAGATTCTGAAACAATTCAGAAACCACTCCAGCCTATCCTAAATGCTGGGCTCGAATTTGATTGAAAGAGATTTTTAAGTTAAATGATCAATTTTATTAGAAAATTGGGATTCAATTCTCAGAGGTTGAGGTCTTATGGCCAGCCTCGGAACCTAAGTCTAAATTGGGTACTGAAAAGTGACTCGATCCTAACTAGTGCAATGCAAATCTGGTCTTACCTCGGCATGGATTGGGGAGCCAGCTAAACCACCTAAACGATTTTAAAATATGAGTCCAGTGATTATGCAAGTAGAAATTTTAGACTCAATTTAATTTGTTACTAATGCGATGCATGCTAATCGACTCGATAAAATGCATAAATCAATATGTAGCAGTTTTAAAATTTTGGCTTATAAAATAGGTTTTTCCCTAAAAGATTGCACAACATCCCCTTGACAGATCTGCACCCTCATAGGCCAGGTGGTCTGCCATAACCCGCAAGCGGGGAGGTGCCTAATAAGATAGAGAAAGTATAATATGAATGCATGAAAAAACCCTCAGCGAGTTCGAGCTTACTTCTTAGGACCGTTTAGAATTTCTATCTTATCCTAAAGATTTTATTTAGTTAGAGTAGAAAATTTTTTTGACAAACCCATAAGAGCCTAAGTTCGGATTCCATGCTAAATCAAATACGGCATGCAAGTAAAAAGACTAGAAAAATAAGTATATCTAATGCGCAATCAATTTAAATAAATCAATCAAATTAAATATATCAAATTGAATGTCCATATGTCAAGTGCCACTTATTATTACATCATAGAAATTTGTAGGAAATTAAAGTGGTCGTGCACCACTGACAACAACCCGGATTCTATCCTAAGACTCAAATGACTTTGAGATTTGGGATTCTTCTCGTTGTTCATTTCTTCGTCTTC